CCTTCGGTAACCTCACTCCCACGACGAAACACAACATAAGCGTTGTTTCACGTTGGTTTTCTGTGAGGCCGTGGTACTCTGGTCGAGCCGGCCCTTTTGCGCCGAACCATGTCGCTCCCACACACTTACCTAGTTAAGACTAAAGAGTAAGCCCTAAAAGGGTTTAGGACAGCATCTTTGTATGTTGATGCAAGAGACTGTTATGTCCCTACAGCTAATGAATATGCTATTTCATTGACATAAATATTATTCATTGACATTAAATCTTTCTGAAGCGATTCGTACATGTTGTGATTAGTTTACTAATTGGAAACCACAGATAACATAATGTAATGTGACGTTTATTGTTAACTGTCAGTGTCACTCCGTCCACTTGTGTTGTCTATGTTTTTTTCTTGTACATCCGCCCTGTTCCGTGAATATAGTTTTGTCGCTCAGTCGTGCATTTTTATTTAAATAAAGTTTAATTCAGGAATTACCTTCAATCATTCTATTGAACATAAGTACTTATCAGGAATCCATCTGTCTGTTTTCCACACACATTTTACTAGTTGTAGTCTAACATGTAATTGTCGATTATGATCCCAATTATTCCATTTCAAAGAATTTTCTCTACGGTCATTGTTACCAAAACAGTTCGCTTGTTAAGAGGCCCTCCATGGTCCAAATCTACTTACATAATCTCCACACAATTATCATTATGTTCAAATGCTTATCCATCATTGAAAGCCTCCCATTCGTGTTATGCTTCCCTGATTTGCCTTATAAAATTACAACTTTTTGTTTTGTTTCAGTAAAAAAAAAAACTAATCATAGTTCAATGTACTAATAGTACTCGGAAGGTATATCGACGCACGATTATTTTTTGTTTCATAATTTATTTGCTTCAAATGTCTAAGTTTTATGGTTGTATCTACTTAGTTATAATTTATAGTTTAGTGAAGGTTTTAGATCCAGACACGCCAGCAGACCAGCACACTATTAAATAGTTTTAATGAACAAGACTTCAGGTTTTTTAGTGGCTCGGTGTCTGATGTGGACCAGAGGTCTAATGAATAACAGACCAACCTAGTAGGCATCTATCTCCATGATGTACCAAATTCTTGAAGCGAAACATACATACTAATATTGATTTGTTTATACTCGGTCTCTATTTACACTAGTTTACAGTGTAATCACGCTCCTAAGGTCTAGGATGGCCTCGACTCGGTCAAGTTCAACAACGCTTCGTTTTCCATTCTTATCACACACGTGTTTAGAAGACGGATTACTTATCACTGGTGATAACGTTTGATAACCAGTGCCTGTGTGATCAATATTTAGGTAACGCGTTTTATCGATGGTGGTTGAGATGTGAACAGTCGCTGATTTTTCACGAAAGTATCATGAATGTGTAGAACGCTAACGCACTTGAAATACTATTTCAATTTCGCATTATCATCATACATGTTGACTGTATGGATGACGCAGTGGTTGGGTCGCTGACTAATGCTCAAAGCGCGAATGATCCAAAAAATGTTGAATGCGGCTATGAGCTTTTTGTACGTCAGCTTTTGCAAACGCAACCAATACCCATAACACAAGCGAAAATCGTAGCAAAGAAAAGTAAAATAATTGTTTATCTAGCAACGGCATTGGGTCTCGTGTATATCACGCACGAGCGATACTAGCAGCAACGTTTACAGTATCATAATAGCGCTGAGTTTCGCATTCGGTGGCAAACATCATCGTAACAAGCACGTGTTCCCGATAACAATCACATTGAACGTCTCCACACGTTTCCAGCCCGTTCAATACGCTAGACAACGCAATGCAGTCCCACTTATATCTTGATTTAGTCCAGAGTTTCAACATGTGCCCTACATTTTCTAGTCGTAATATCCTGATGTCCGCTATGTCCTAAAGATATATTGTTTTTCTTTAAAAAACGTTGCCCCACACTAGGATTTTCTCCTGTGTCGTGGGTGCGGTTACAAACATACAAGTTCACATACACATGACACCCAGACCCGGAACAACAATCTGTGGATCACACAGAGTTGTTCCGTGCGGGGATCGAACCTGCAAATGTCAATTGTTTACCAGTTAGACTAGCATGGAAAAGTTAAGTGGTAAAACAGGACATTAGTCTATACAGTATTTGTCTAACCTTTAGCTTCAGCAAGCTTAAACTGTCAAACACCAAGCGGTCACCGGTGACCGCAACCTATTGTTCTATAATTGTATCTATAATGACGGTACTCGACGAGTTAAATCAAATCAAATTACCTGAAATTACCTAAGACACACGTGTATGAGGTGAGAGCACAATAAAAATGTTTACATCTACCATTCTACCAATCATCAATCACAAACGTATAGGGAATTGAATTTTAAAACGCAGTATCTCCGCCTACCTATTACCATAATGGAGATTTTGTAGAATATCAAAAAAACTGTGACATAATCGACGGTGAACTGGATCATTCTACAATATTATGTAAAGCAAAGTTTTCGATGACACTCGTTATGTAAGCGACTTAACTAATAACAATATAGGGTTTCTTCTGTTTTTATTTTTAATTGACACAGATAATAGAGATGATGACGGTATGAAAATTAAAAAGTTACCTACTTTTTTACCGTCTTATCGACCGTCCATCAGTTAGGTAATGAAAAAATATTAGACACATATTTTTTTCTTTTTTCGTATAAGAAAACAATACTTAAATAAAACGGATCAAAGTTTAGGAGTGGGAATTAACTACGTCACTTTTGAGTATAAAACGTATACAAAAGTGACGTCACGCGATATTTCAAATCAATAAATCGTCGAAAGTATCTGTGTCCGTAAGAAAAAAATACGTGTCTAATGATTTTAAATAATCTACCATAGTACTGACATTAAAATAAAATTTTGTTATCTACCCTACCTTACCTTACCCAACCACTGCGTCATCCATACAGTCAACATGTTGAGGACGACCTGATAGTTTAGTCAGTGAGAGAAACCATATTGATAAAATACACAAATCTTTAAAAAAAAGCTTTTCTGTTTAATGATTATCTTAAACTGTCAAACACCAAGCGGTCACCGGTGACCGCAACCTATTGTTCTATAATTGTGTCTATAATGACGGTACTCGACGAGTTAAGTAAGACTAAGATACAAAGTATACAAGGACGAGCATGAGATAAATAAGCTAGACGGTTGGTGTAGTAAATAAAATAACCACTTAGCAGATTCGCGCTCACGACTACCGAGCAAACACGGGACATGGCGACGCATAATTTCACTAATAACATACATAGAAAATAACCAGTTTAATAAACACAACTTCTATTCCACAAACACGGAGCATTAAATAAACAGAGTGGTCGTTGTCAACATGCAAGCTTAGGATTTGAATAATCTTTAGAACTAATAAATGTGGTAGACGAAAATGTCTCTTGGTGGCGGAATGCGAGATCTTTCATTAGCACTGCATGTGTGTTTCCATCTATGTCCGCATTTCACCATTAACATACGCATCGGGTTACCGCCACCGTCTTTAATATGGTAGGTATCTGCATTTTGAACGAGGTCCGATATCGGAACTAGTTTTATATTTTTGGATTCCAACATCGAAATATCGGTGCAGAAAGGAGATAAGCTTCATTAAATTGCTATTTGGTTACAACAAAGTTTAGTTCCAGTCTATTATAATCGAGTTAAATGCCTACTTTCTCTGCGTGGGATGATATGCGCCATTACTTCCATTTAGTCTTAGGACCTTTGAAACATGGAGCAGCTTTGTATAACATGGGTTGTTACAGGCGCTGACGTCATTCAACCGCCCCCGCGCACTCGACGGGAGCCTAGCCTATGAGCCTAGAGAAATTCCACCATAATCTTTACTAATATTATAAATCGAAAAGTGAGTTTGTTTGTTTGTTCCGCTTTCACGCCGTAACTACTTAACCGATTGCTGTGACATTTTGCAGAAGTAAAGTTAGAAGTCCGGATTAAATAATAGGGTACTTTTTATCCCGGAAAAAATTTATATTCCCGAGGGAAACAAAAGTATTAGTATAGATGGCGCTGTGTGTATTGGTATATGTCACATAGGCTACTTTTTATCCTTTTGTGACGCGAGCGAGGCCGCGGGTAAAAGCTAGTCTTAGAATAAACCAGGCAGTTAGGACCACTTTGTTATAATTAGGTCAATAAAATTGCATATTGGATATCGGCAGGATAGCTATTGAGCCGATAAAAATGTTTCCTCTAACCCAAACATGAGCATATTCACTTAGAGAAATCACCTCGGTGGTTACCATAAAACATTGCAGTTGCTTTCCTTGTAATGTTAATTGTATACAATTTATTCTTAGGTAGCAAATGCAGTAAGCCTGCGCAGTACGAGCAACAAAATGACAATAAGTTTGTTCTAATTGGGAGTTACCGAAAGCGAAACGGACATGAGAATTAAAAATATCTGCGATAAATCCCGTGTCCCACACTGTGCACCATTCAATAAACTTTTTATTTATATCCAAGAATAACTTTTTGGCGTCAATCTGATACGAAATGTTTTTAAAGTGCGAGATATATTTGGCGCCGGGAGGACGGCAGATCGCCATTTACAATCCACTTGAGACAAGACAGCCTTGACCCTGATGGGTTCTCAGTTCACATCCCAAATTGCAAGTGGCGGCTTTATTGAATGAATAAAAACGATACAGGTTTTCTTAACCTGATATTGCATGGTGTCTGATTCAGGGTGGTCTTACAACAACGATGGCATCTTAGTCTTAAGTAATGTCGGTTAAATCAGGGTCCTGCTCAGTCCTATTTTTTAAAATCCCTTTGTGTTAAAGGGCACAATGTTTTAAACATTTGTTGCCTTGCACTAAAATTGTTTCTACTTTGTGGACCACACGAAGAATTATGTTATTAGAACCAGCTACATGTAACGTAGCAGGCCATCTAACAATTTCTAAGAAGTTGAAGTTATGGTTTGAAGATAATCAGAATAGCTTACCCATCCTCCTTCATGACGGATTTGTCTCCACAGTCGCAAGCACCTCCAGCCTGCGACAGGAACATGTTGAAGTCGTGTGTGGAGTGGTCGCCGCGGTGGAAGCACTCCCGACATATCGACATGCAGGGAGAGATGCCGCACGTGCGACATCGATACGCGACAACACGCGGTATCCAGACTAGACCGCATTTGTCGTGTTTGTCGTAACTCCGGACTGTGAACAAAAGATAATAAGGTTAATAAGTCACAGATACTAATCTATGTATCACCATCAATCAAAGCTTTTAAAATTATATCAGATCAGTTCAGTTGCAGATTATTGATAGAACTACCTAATTAATAAAAACTGCATTTTGTGTTAAAAAATTGTTGTTCGTTTTGTGTTAAAAAGATAAACCACGTGCAATAAACGGATCTCAAAATAGGTTAATAAAATTATCCTCCTTATAGATTTTCATAGTGGTTAACAGACATACTATATCTGTTGGGCAGCTACACGTATGAGCAAGTAATTAGGGAGATCTACTAAAATTTCTTAGAAAATCCATTTTAAAGTACTCAGTCAGGTAGACCCGGTGGAGCAATTCGTTCTAACCAAAAAATATGGAGTACCTAGTTAAGGAATAATAAGTAGTTTATTTTTACCATAAACCTTGTACACTATATATAGCATCGCCGATTATGTAAAGATCCCGTTAGAATCGCTGCATCCGAAATCCGCATTCGTCTAGGTGATAAATTCAGTAGTACTGCAGTGCGGACAAAATCGATTCAGATGAATACAAATTCAGTATTTAAGAAATACCCGTGACTAAACCTACTAAAAGAACTTTCTGGTATTTCCAGTGCCGAAATAACTAAACGTATAAAACATTAATCACTCAGGTCCTATTCTCAAAACTATCTCGTACAGGTATCTAATTGTTTTATTAGCATCTGCTTGAAAAACATGAAACAACAATAGCTGGTCCCACCCTGGCATCGAAACGGCAAGTCATCCCATGTAATTATAGTGGACTCTAATGATTTTGAGACCATAACTAATGGGTATCAGAGATTTTAGAGGATCTATTAAGTATTTATGATACATGTCTTGAGCTGTGGAGTAAAATCCCCAACAATATTGATGTGGATTGTGGGTTGAGGTCACTTTCTGTCCGCTCACCGCGACATTTTAGAACAACTACTATCTGCTTTCTAAGACCGATTATGAATAATGCCCCTGATTTTGTATCTATTCTCGTATCATTTCTCCAGGGAATAAGTGACATTTTTTAGACTTAACTGCTACAGATTTCCAGGCAGTAATATACAGCATAGTTTGCACAACTCGGGAATCAAAAACGTGATCTCATCGTCCTCAGTTATGTTGAGCTGTTGGAATGAACTCTCAGGGTTATCTGGAACCATACTGTGCATCTAACGGATCTCATTTTCATGGTAAATCAAATACGACACGATTACCTTGAATTATTTATTATTCATTCACAAAATTCCAGGTACTATTGCGACTATTATAGAAATGACACTATTACTGAATGGAACTATTCGCGGACCATTTACAATGCATTGACTTTAACCACTTCGCCTGTTTGTTCACCCCAGTTTATGACCAAATATCACTATCACACATAGCTAATTCTATATCATTATTAAATAACTATCATGTAGTTTCTAAATGCTTCAATTCCATGAATCTATGCTTGTTTTTTTTAATGGAGGATTATTTGTTTATTTTCATACTGAATAGACCTTTGATCTTTCAGCTAATGGTCCTAATTTTTTAAGGTAGACGTTAACATTGATGTGTTTAAAATCTGTGAATTACTTAGTTATTATCATTTCATAGGAAAAAAAATAGAAACCGGATTATTTTTCTCTCTTCTCGAAGATCAAAGAGCTTTTACTTTACGAGTATCTACTTTATACCTTATTTTCCTTACTCAGTAAATATGTTTTCCTAACTACAGCAACATGTAAACAAGGTTTTATGCAACAGAAAAACGGTTCTCGTAATACTATTTTTTTTGCTCAGGTCTACGACGTAAATAACAGTAATGACTGACAAATATTGCAAGACACTTAAATATAAAAAATATTCTAACGTACATCGATGTCTGCATTGAAGCGTTTAGCAACAACATGACATAAACCGAACTATCCTTGCAACGGTAACCTGGGAAAATATAAAAACTGAAAAAAATATAGTAAACACATAAAAGCAATTAGTAGTATAGCAATATAAGCATTACGCAACATTAGCCGGCTGTAACAAGGCGTCGCATCGATAATTACGAACAGCGTGCGCGTGCGCCGACGGACGGTCGTATCAACGTTCGTTGTACACGTATAGGTGGTTATTGCCCTGACCGTGACGGTGCCGCGCTTTGGGCTACCGATGATGAGTTGACATCATTTCGTCAATTATTGTAATATATAAGATATACAAGGATGTTTATGGTACCTATTGCAAAATGGATTTGATCCCAAAACATGATTTTGATGTCACATTTAAAAGGAAAAATAATGTGGTTGAGAAGTTTAGTTGATTTTAGGCCACTGACGCGACGGGACGCAACAAAAAGTAAAAAAATCTTCTTCTCCTATCATTGTGTGACCGGACACTTGATATTAATTAATTAGTTATATTTATAGAGATAACATCGGTATCTTCTGATCGAAATACTAGATCAAAATCATTAAAATTTTAATTTGTTATAATATTAGCGTAAAATGGGAATATTGTTACCAAATAAAGTCAAACTGAAAGCAACATTATTCGGCAGAATCGAAGACGCTTACAAAGATACAAAAGTTGCAAATCCACAAGAGCATTCAAGGAGGTCCGTGTCTCGTAAAATACAAGAACAAAGCGGGTGCTTATCTCATAGCAAGGAGGAACACGGCACGTGTCTGTTGGACCGCGATCAGCTGTTAGACGGGGTCGACGAACGCCACGGCCGGTGAATAACACCGTCCGATACGAAACGCACCGGAGTCAATGCACTTGCTAAGAAAACTGGGGTCGTCTCAAAATGTACGGGTAAATCAAACTTGCATTCGAGATGCGAGCACCAAAATGGTTGTCAAATTGTTCACGAGTCACTCGGTGGCTTGCATATGCGCATATTGATATAACAAACAAACGTAGTTTCTTTTGCGTGTAACTAATTGAGCTGGTGTTGTACCAGACGACATTAAAATATTCGTATCGAGCAATTGTTTCAATTGTGAACATTAAACCGTTTATGAACAATGTTCGCACTCGGGACGTAAAGGTTGAATTATTTTTTAATGTTTGCCATTGGCTTCACGTCCGCCTGGTAATTTGTAGGCAAATACGATATTTCTGCTCTGACAATAAAGCGTTTGGCATTTTAGGATTTTACAAGTTTATCTTGCGAATCATGAGTTTACATGGTAAACATGTGCTACGTCTGCTAAGTTTTACGAAGAATTAAATAACGTTTCAGGTGTTTAGAGGTCAAGTAATGTCAAAAAGAAACCTTAGTAACTGCAATAAATATGGGTTTTCAAGGCACATCAAGGAAAGCCGCTTGACATTAAGTACACTTCCAGAGAACCACCCAAAATTAATTTAGTAACAAGAATAGTAGTAAGAATGTAACAACTTGTACTTTTTATAAAGGAATTTATCCTCTTCCTTCGTTCGTGTGAACCACAGAGGAGCACTTGCGAATAAAAAGTAAAAAATGTGTACGAGCAGATATGAGATCTCTGGCCACGTAATCATGACATTCGTGACTGAGATAAACCCGGCAAGGTGCATAGTGGTGACTGAAGATTTGTTGACAGAATTTTTCATTACAGCTTTCGAATACAACGAAACAGAGAATATTTGTCAGTCAGAAATCAATAGTAAACCTAAAATGATTAGATTGGGGTCATGGTCGAGCCCCTGTAAACGACACCAAGGCAAATTTTAATGTAATTAAAGCACACGTAAATATGAACACGTTACATAAACTATTAAATTCCTATCATATTATCCTAATACCGTAGTCGGTTAAACAAAGTTAATTAACTACGTACAAAGTATAAATTTTTCCACTACCTCCTTAGTTCGCTAGACATTTAGATATGATTCAGTTTAGACCTGTGCCTCGAGGGCTTGTACAGTTCTTAAGCGATATGTGATTAAGTGCACGTATGCGATCCTAGACATTGAGCAAAAATTCCGATCGAAAGCCATGAAGCTACATCTTTGTCACAATCACAAACTGCTGAATCATGAACAGGTTTAAGGAAAATAAACCTGGTGATTACTCATTGTATGATACGATATTTTCGACGTATATGTTATTTTTAGGGATCGCCTGTTCACTGTGATCATGATCACTTAATCACGTGCGTAGGAGTCGGTGATTGGATTTATTGCTCCAAAGACGCTGAAGTTGGTTCCACGCTTATAAATAACAAAACTTTATTGCTGACATGTGCGTCGAAAGTTACTTCTTTTTTGTTTAGTTTAGTACAAGTTAAATTATACTTTATTAAACTAGATTTATTGCCTTATTGTGTGGTTTGCCCAAAAACATGACATGTGTGTGTGTTGGTTAATGTTTCTAATTATACAGACAAGTTTTATGAGTACAAGGTCTCCTAGGTCGAACAAATAGTTACCGGGTTTTTCAATATTTCAACTTTACATAAACACGGAAATGTTGCTTACTAGCAATAAGTCTTGACAGCCGTATATTAAGCGACGTATAATGGGTGTACAATGAGCACATTATTGTCTAGTGTCTACCGTTTCTGGAGCTTCTGGGAACAATAGCGTCATGTAGGTAGGTGATTTGTAACTAAGTTATATTAGGGCTTAGGACACGAACTCAAGAGTAAGAACAAATAATTAAATGAAAATCACACAAGCCTACAAAAAGCAGAAAGGCTGTTTTTATAGTTAATTAAACATTTTTAATAGGACTTATCTCAGTAATAAGTACCTACAATGTCTACAATTTCGGGTGACTAGTGACGTAGTGAACAAATCATGACACTACGGATATTATCGCCAGTCACGCTTGACGTCATCTATCACTGCTCAGTCTGCTCACCCAACATTAATAGCTGCTAATTGCTTTACTGCTACAGCATAAAAATACAGACATTTCACTGAGCATAATTTAGTCGCAAGCCATCAAGATTAAAATAGAATCGATTTACGACATGTCATAAAATATGTATCAAGTT